GGCAAAAAACACTGCAAAAATATTTTGGGTAGGTTTACATTTTTGGCCAATAAAAATATTAGCATTTTATTTTTTTAGCAGGGATTTTTTTTTCTTATTCTTAAAAAAATACCACCGGCGGATCTGTAAAACAAGAAATGTAATTGGTCTGGCCTTATATGTAAAAAACAACATGTCCAATGTTATAATTGCAACCTCAGGTTTCTCAGATTGTTTTCATGATGTGATTGTTTTTCATGATGTTATTTATCATTCTTATCATCCAAATACAATCGTGTGGTCGAACAGTTATTTCTTTAGGTGGTACATATTTATGAATCATGTTATGTAGACAATTGGTAAATTCTTCTGTGATTGTATCTTGATTGTCGTTTTGGAACACATCTAGCCAGTCCTTGGCAGATATGCATGATGTTTTTCATGATATGATTGTTTTTCATGATGTTGTTTATCATTCTTACTTATGCTTGTTTAATTTCTTCGCAGATCTACGTCCTTCCGTATATCCCCATGTACACTAAACGCAAAAAGAAACGTTACCCTCCTACCTTTATGAATTACTTAAAAACTATCAAAGATATGTTAGAAGGGATTGGTTTACAAGAAAGCTTAATAGCACAGCTTTATGTAAATCACGAAAAAAGATTCTCGAATACATTTATATTTAGGTGAAATGCATCTTTTTCAGAAGAGTTCAATTGTCCTATTTTCGTCCATGACGAAGTAAACCAATAACAGTGATTTAAATGTCCAAAAAGAAAGGTTGAAATAAAATTCTGCTATGGGACAAAGATAAACCATTAAAAGTCACCATTTTTCAACTATCAAAACAAGAAACAACTGTAGAGTGTGTACAATTGTAAAATAATCATTCCTATTCCTTTTATAACATCATCTGCTGATTTGCATTAGTGAAAACAAGTAAAACGTATCTTTGATATTGTGAAAAAATGTTTAGGAACATCTACAATAATCTTTGTTAACATTTTTTCTTGCAAAGTAACATTTTTCCATTTTCTGTTTACACATTGCAATATCAATCGCCGAAACGCAGCAACATTCAAGCAGTATTTGCCTCCGTTTCACATGTAGGATGATTCTATAGGGTATGAAGAGAGCCTAGAAAAGATGATACGATACACAGGTACGAGAAATATGCCACGATTAACAGCTGAAGAGAGAGAAAGAGCCATTGGGATGGTGCAGATGGGGTCGACGTACAATGCTGTTGCCAACGCCCTCGGATGCCACCGTATCACGGTTATAAGACTTCTTCAGGGCTTCAGACAGACTGGGGTCACCGTAGACAGACCAAGAAGTGGACGTCCATGCATCACAACGCCAGCTGTAGATAGGTACCTCCGTCATTAAGGAAGGAGGATAACGTTTCTTTTGGCGTTTAGTGTATATGACCTGTTATTGATGTTACTCAAACTGATGTTTCTTAAGATGCATAAAACCTTTATGTTAAAAAATAATTATTTCAAGCTCAATACACTTATGTCTTGCTGGCCTCCGTGTATGCCTGCTCATTTTTTTATAAAGTCTATGAATTTAAAAATGTTCGGATGTGAGCCGACTATTTGAAGGCTGAGCTTTCGGTGCGAGCCTTCCACATGGTTGGTGGTACGTGGCCCCACTGTGTTGTAATGGTTCCACAAACATCGCCCGTGGTTTCCTTCCACCCAAAACGTTGTCATATAGTCCGTGAAATGTTCAATATTTTGACCATCGGGGGCTTGCTCTAAAGTCTGCCACCAAACATCTCTGACTAGATGAACAGGCACAAGCGGCAGTGCTATTGCCCGTCTCACCAGGAGGGACACAGCAGGGTTGCTCTTGTAGTCGTTTGTCAAGTTGTACTTCTGAACATTCTTCAACACAGCTTGACCATAATGAAAGAAACATCCTTTCCATTCACATGAGGGAAAGACTCTTTTCAGGGCAGCAAACTCATAGTCGGTTAAGATGTTTTCTGTTGCAAGGCGGAGGTTCAGTTGATTTGCTCGCGAAGAACCGATTGTATGTCTGCTCTGACTTGCTTGGTAAAAGTCCATACACTAGGGGAAACATCTTGTCTTCTACAAGCTGCTGACAAGGTTGTTCTTGGTGTTGATGGTAGAGGTGCAGTCTTTTGTGCAGCACTTCCAGTGGACAGTGTCTCTTCTTCTGGACTTAACGCGGAATTTATAGTTTCGGTAAACTAAGTATTGTCCGCCTGGCCCGTTTGGAATAACCCGAACATTGACTGAGCGTTTGCCATTTTGCAATGACAGTTGACATGAACGTGTCCCTTTTATACGTATCCTGATTATACACACCAACTTGATTTATTCTATTCAATTTGATTACTTTAGTGTAAATTAAACACAATTAGTATGTTCACTAGGTGTCAAAATCATGACATGTGAACCTCATCCGTATTATATAACTTTTAATTATTGTTATTCATAATACATGTACATGCAATTTTTAAAGAATTTTAGTCTCTCATAATTCCGTTAATAAATAATCTGTCTGTCTGTCTGTTGGTAGAATAAACACTGCAGCCATATCCGCTTGCCGGATATGGTGAGCGGTGTTCACTAATGCCCAGCCGGCTGGACGAGGGTGGGGGTGGGGGTGGGGGAGAGAGACTTTTTTCATAGGGATCAACAAACTTTGCACAACTATTCACCCATGACTCTTAATCCCCTCAGCCTGCCGGACAAGTGGGAATAACCCCTTTCAGACTACCTCTGCAACAATATATTATTGTGTTGCCAAGTTTAATCGGTTAGAGTTGTGATTGGTACGCTCAACTTCCCAGCGTAGACACCTGATTGGATAAAAAAAGCCAACCAAGGGAGGTAATAAAATCATCGAGGATGCACGAGGTCATACTTATTCAATACGCGTGTAATGTATTAGGCATGGTGAAGGTTATCAAAATGAGTACAATTTTATTGTTTTTAAATAGAAATAATTGCCCAAGGGCAGTTATTCAGCTATGCTAATAAAACACTTCCAAGAACAATGGACGTAACTTTCCCCATTCGTGACCCACTCGTGTTATTCTGGGACAAGCCGAATAGCGACTCGTGCCCCTCTGGAAGGATTTCATATTGGCGCATGAACATCAGAACTACTTTAAACAAGAACGACAACTCTATCCCTGTTTGATTCCAATGTTTCTAAAAATCACCGAAGCACATGTACATTGATAGGTTGTTGTTTTGGGGATTTTATACTTATTTATTTTAAAGATACAACTAAAAGAAAAAGAAAAACATATTTGTTAAAGACATATTCTAATGTAATTATTACCAGCGGTTCACCTTATATTTCCAATTATGTTAATTTTCTTAATAGGGTTTAATCATCACAAATGGGAATTGTTTTATTGAATATACACACACAAAATTCAGCTACATTAAATCCAAAAAGCAGACACCTGTAACTTCTTGTTTATTTTTAGGTAATTGGCAATCAATATCTTGTTGGGTTTGAAATTATTTGCATGCAGAATGATAATAACAGTCAGGAAACCACAAAACACTTAAACCACTTTGATACAACTAAAAGAAAAGAAAAACATATTTGTTAAAGACATATTCTAATGTAATTATTTATTTACCACTTTGATACAACTAAAAAGAAAAAAAAACATCACCTAATGTAATTATTACCAGCGGTTCACCTTCCAATTATGTTAATTTTCTTAATAGGGTTTAATCATCACAAATGGGAATTGTTTTATTGAATATACACACACAAAAATTCAGCTACATTAAATCCAAAAGCAGACACTCAAAAATGACTTTAAAATATTTCTCAGACTGAACATTCATGTAACCTTGCTGTCAAACCCCTGGTGGAATTTCACATGGATTCGCTGAAAAAATATGACTCACCAAAAAAACACTCAATATGACGATATATATTTTTCATGATTCTTTAGACCATAACATATGCCATAAACGATTTAAGTACTCGGGATTATTTTTATCAAAGCACTGCGCTCATTTTCGCGCGTTCTGATTGATTTGTCGTATTTTCGCACATAACAAGTATCGTGTGGGGGACGATTCTTCTTGGAGGTTACGGATAGGGGCGAGTGGTGACGAATGAACTTTCCCTAGTGGTTTAAATGCTGATGGTTAGGCATTAAATACTGATAGTGAAGTGGTATATACTGATAGTGAGGTGGTATATACTGATAGTGAGGTTTATTTACTGATTGTGAGGAAGTATATATTGACAGTTCAGTAGTGTTGTTCTGACCTACATATTTATTAAAAGGAATATCCAGTACAAAGCAACGCCAGCATAGACATATTTTGTTATTGATATTCGCTTGGTGGTGTCTCTGACTTAGTTATTTATATTCTGATAATCTGACAATAATACCCTCCAAATCTTTGTTAGCATCTAGATCGGGTGTTTTCTGGATGCTTGAAGAATTGAACATATGGGTTATTTGTTTGGTTTTTTTTAAAAAAAACACACGCCTAGATACTGTCCTGAATGCCTCTGACAACCCCACCTTTAAATAACATGCTTTAATATTAAAGGAGTATTGTGAAGATAACACGAAGTAATAGGAAAGGCGTTAGCTCATTTCGCACAATGGATGATCGTGACAGCACGTATTTATTCACATCCACTTGGTTTTGTTAGCTTATAAAATAGAAAGGTATTAAAGCCGGCCCACTGCAGTAGTCTATCTGTGTGTCCTGTAAGTGTTACACACTAGCCTGTCTCAGAGTCCCTAAACCCTACCATCAAGCCCTTTATGTTTAAGCCCTGTAGCCCTTAATTAATCAACTCCCGATTTTCCACGTGCCTTGAATCTCCCATTTCACTGTGGCTGCTTTTCAGTTTAAATTGTGTGGTTTGTTGCTACCAAAATAACATGTTTTCAGAGACTAAGCTTTAGTCTAGCTTACTCGCGTGCACTTCTGAGAACGAGACATTAGTTTCTTAGAATTAGCTTTCTCCTTTGATTCGACAATAATGACGTATTTACTATTCTCAGTATTTGGTTTATGTTTATTTCAGTCGCTGAGTATAGTGGCTGTGGTGAAAGCTTCATCACAGACGTGTGTTAACTGGCTGTGAGTTAAGGTAAGTTTTAATTTATAGAGAAATGCCTTGACACTGAGTTGACCACGACTCGATTACAAATGCTGGTGCATTACTTACATCCTGTAGCGACAAAGTTAAGTACTGTGAAAGTGAGAGAGTATGGTTTTACGCCGCTTTTAGTAATAATCACGGCGGGGGACACCAGAAATGGGTTTCACACATTGTACTCATGCGGGGATTCCAACCCAAACTAACTAACTCACATATTTTGGGTCGTCTGTTAGATAGGGTCAATCTTTTAACAAAGTGTCTCGCTGTAGTTGGTTTTAAAAATTTAACGCTGGGTGATTTAATTATGAACGTTAAACAAATGCACCCACTACCACCACCATCCCTCCGGATTCCACTGAATGATTGACGTTGACCGCGTGATGCTTACGTCAGCTATCTATACAAATTCAGCAGAGCGCTTCAAAATGAACACTCGTCACCGTCGAGCGATCTTAACACACGCCTTTCTTAATTTCAGCTTTGGGTTTGAGTTCTGAGGAGGCCGTTTACTAACTCCACGTTTAAGAACATTCCAATAATGACACCTGAAATAGGCTTCACATACTGTAACCCCATGGTGCGCCTACGTCACTTCCGGCTATCACAGTAAACTATGATCATGTAACAATGTCTCAGCGTCACACACTGTACAAATCACAATGTATCGTATTGGGCAGAGCAAAGACACCAGACTGTTGTGTATAGCCCCTCATGAGGTCGTGGTGTGTATTCCAATAAACTCACTTGTCTAATTGTCATCGGGATCGTACTACACCGTAAAACGAATGTTTGACCAACTATGGCGGGTGGTCCTTTATTTATTAAGTCATCTTAGCTGTTCCTCCTTTGACTTCAGGGGCGGTGGAATAGCCTAGTGGTTAAAGCGTTCGCTTGTCATGCCTCAGACCCGGGTTCGATTCCCCACATGGGGACAATGTGCGAAGCCTATTTCTGGTGTCCCAAGCTCTGATATTGCTGGAATATTGCTAAAAACGGCATAAGACCATACTTACTCACTCCAATAAACTCACTGATAAAGAGGGACAATGAAAGGAAGCACAAGATACAGGCTATTTTTATTTTATTTTTGCAGATGGCAGAAGATGGTGTACGCCACAAGGTTGTGGATAACGTCGATGACTGCGTCAAGGCTGTCGATGACCTCCTCCTGGAGTCTGTCGTTGCTGTGGACTGTGAGGGAATCGATCTGGGAAAGAAGGGCCCTCTCACTCTCCTCCAGGTGGCCAAACTAGACGGTTTTGTCTATTTGTTCAATGTGTTCGTTGAGCCAAAGGTCTTCACTGAAGGCCGACTGAAGTCGTTTCTGGAAAATCAAGACATCGTCAAGGTATGTCTGTCACGTGATGACAGTAATCAGTATTTCTGATAGGAAACATACTCAAATTAGATCTTAAACATTCCCACGACTGCCTCTATTTTCCGCCATGTCGATTTATTAGGTTCCTATTTGCACTTCGGCTGTTTTGCACTTCGGGTTTTCCTGGGGCATTGGGGTAGCCTAGTGGTGAAAGCGTTCGCCCGTCACGCCAAAGATCCCAGTTCGATTCCCCACATGGGTACATTTGCCTGAAGCCCATATCTGATGTCCCAAGTTGTGATATTGCTGGAATATAACCAAAAAAACGACGTAAAACTGATCTCACTCACTCATTTGTACTTCGGGCTGACGATTTTAGATGGATTTTGTTGGTGGACTAACAAATATAGTTTAAAAAACGCGTCATGTTTGGCAGGATGGAATGGTTATAATGATCAACCATTCAGTTAACCATTATGTATATGTACAGACTAGAGTCCCCACATGGGTCAAATGTGTGAAGCCTATTTCGTCATCGGTTCCCAACTGCGCAGATCGATCCTCATGCTGTTGATCACTGGATTGTCTGGTCCAGACTCGATTATTTATAGCTAAGATACATAGCGTTCACTAACATGAACGCTCATGTTAGTGAACGCTATGCATCTTAATTAGCTAGATTATTTACAGACCGCCGCGATATAGCTTAACTATTGCTGAGTGCGGCGTAAATCTAAACTCACACACTCACTCAGTTGGTTCGTAAACTACTTCCATTATTTGCTAGACTATGCAAAGGGAAATAACTCGTGCCTCGCATTCCTCTATCTCTCTAACGAAAGAGTCACCATCTAAGCTTGGATCGGATCGTAAGATCGGGACCGGCTACGATCGGCCTAAGATAGGTTAGTGGAACGGGTGTAACTTTTAGCTAAGACGATTGTACAATTCGCGTAACTTGCTAAGATTGATCTTAGTTAAGATCGGTTAGTGGACGGCACCCCGGTGTCCCCCGCCGTGATATTGCTGAATTATTGCTAAAAACGGCGTATAATCAAATCACTCACTCACTCTAATCGTGCGCACATCTATTCATCGAATTCGTATTTGAGGACAAGCGAATAAATGTAGGTAAACGTATGCGAAAATAAGTAATTCAGTAGAGGATTTCACTCTTGTACAATTGTGTTACTCTACCACCAGTGAAGTTGATGCGCCGTAAAGCTCAGCATCAAATCAACCTTTCTTTCATTTTTAGGGGCGGTGGGGTAGCCCATTTCTAGTGTCCCCAGCCATGATATTGGTGGAATATTGCTAAAAGCGGCGTAAAACTAAACTCATTCACTCTTTCACTTTTAGGTATTTCACGCGTGCAACCGAGACAGCGCCGCCCTCAAGTGCCAGTTTGATGTTATGCTGAACAATGTGTTTGACGTGCAGGTATTGTAAAATGATATTTACCTTGATCTGTGCCTGCAAATGAGAAAGTGTTTCACTGTTTTGCCTCAAACTACATAATCAAGGCCATAGACACCCCATCCAAGTTGCATCTGTGTACATCCACCCCATCAATATTGCATCTGTGTACAACCACCCCATTCACATTGCATCTGTGTACATCCACCCCATTCATATTGCATCTGTGTACAACCACCCCATCCATATTGCATCTGTGTACAACCACCCCATCCATCTCCCATCTGTGTACAGCCACCCCATCCATATTGCATCTGTGTACAACCACCCCATCGATATGGCGTCTGTGTACAACCACCCCATCCATCTCCCATCTGTGGACAACCAACCCATCCATATTGCATCTGTGTACAACCACCCCATTCATATTGCATCTGTGTACAACCACCCCATTCATATTGCATCTGTGTACAACCACCCCATCCATATGGCGTCTGTGTACAACCACCCCATCCATCTCCCATCTGTGGACAACCAACCCATCCATATTGCATCTGTGTACAACAACCCCCTTCATATTGCATCTGTGTACAACCACCCCATCCATCTCCTATCTGTGTACAACCACCCCATACATATTGCCTCTGTGTACAACCACCCCATCCATATTGCCTCTGTGTACAACCACCCAATTCATATTGCATCTGTGTACAACCACCCCATCCATATTGCATCTGTGTACAACCACCCCATCCATCTCCCATCTGTCTACAACCACCCCACCCATATTGCATCTCGGTACAACCACCCCATCCATTTTGCATCTGTGTACAACCAGTCCATTCATATTGCATCTGTGTACAACAACCCCATTCATATTGCATCTGTGTACAACCACCCCATCCATATTGCATCTGTGTACAACCACCCCATCCATCTCCCATCTGTGTACAGCCACCCCATCCATATTGCATCTGTGTACAACCACCCCATTCATATTGCATCTGTGTACAACCACCCCATTCATATTGCATCTGTGTACAACCACCCCATCCATATGGCGTCTGTGTACAACCACCCTATCCATCTCCCATCTGTGGACAACCAACCCATCCATATTGCATCTGTGTACAACAACCCCCTTCATATTGCATCTGTGTACAACCACCCCATCCATCTCCTATCTGTGTACAACCACCCCATACATATTGCCTCTGTGTACAACCACCCCATCCATATTGCCTCTGTGTACAACCACCCAATTCATATTGCATCTGTGTACAACCACCCCATCCATATTGCATCTGTGTACAACCACCCCATCCATCTCCCATCTGTCTACAACCACCCCACCCATATTGCATCTCTGTACAACCACCCCATCCATTTTGCATCTGTGTACAACCAGTCCATTCATATTGCATCTGTGTACAACCACCCCATTCATATTGCATCTGTGTGCAACCACCCTGTCCATTTTGCATCTGTGTACAACCGCCCATTGTTACTGTATGCCAAGATGTGGCCTATGCAACTCCTGCATATTTGTCCATGCGTCTGCTGTAGGTGTACCCATGTGTCTGCGGTATGTGTACCATGTGTCTACTGTATGTGTACCATGTGTCTGCTGTATGTGTGCCCATGTGTCTCCTTAATGTGTACCATGTGTCTGATGTATGTGTACCTTGTGTTTCCTGTTGGTGTACCCATGTGTCTGATGTATGTGTACCATGTGTCTGATGTATGTGTACCTATGTGTCTGATGTATGTGTACCATGTGTCTAATGTATGTGTACCATGTGTCTGATGTTTGTGTACCTATCTGTCTGATGTATGTGTACCTATGTGTCTGATGTATGTGTACCATGTGTCTGATGTATGTGTACCTATCTGTCTGATGTATGTGTACCATGTGTCTGATGTATGTGTACCATGTGTCTCCTGCATGTTTACCATGTGTCTGATGTATGTGTACCATGTGTCTGATGTATGTGTACCTATGTGTCTGATGTATGTGTACCATGTGTCTGATGTATGTGTACCTATGTCTCTGATGTATGTGTACCATGTGTCTGATGTATGTGTACCTATGTGTCTGATGTATGTGTACCATGTGTCTAATGTATGTGTACCATGTGTCTGATGTTTGTATACCTATCTGTCTAATGTATGTGTACCTATCTGTCTGATGTTTGTGTACCTATGTGTCTGCTGTAGGTGTACCATGTGTCTAATGTATGTGTACCATGTGTCTGATGTATGTGTACCTATGTGTCTGATGTATGTGTACGATGTGTCTGATGTATGTGTACCCATGTCTCTGATGTATGTGTACCCTTGTCTCTGATGTATGTGTACCTATCTGTCTGATGTATGTGTGCCTATGTGTCTGATGTATGTGTGCCTATGTGTCTGATGTATGTGTACCATGTGTCTGATGTATGTGTGCCCATGTGTCTCCTTAATGTGTACCATGTGTCTGATGTATGTGTACCTTGTGTTTCCTGTTGGTGTACCCATGTGTCTGATGTATGTGTACCATGTGTCTGATGTATGTGTACCTATGTGTCTGATGTATGTGTACCATGTGTCTAATGTATGTGTACCATGTGTCTGATGTTTGTGTACCTATCTGTCTAATGTATGTGTACCTATCTGTCTGATGTATGTGTACCTATCTGTCTAATGTATGTGTACCTATCTGTCTGATGTATGTGTACCTATCTGTCTGATGTATGTGTACCATGTGTCTAATGTATGTGTACCATGTGTCTGATGTTTGTGTACCTATCTGTCTGATGTATGTGTGCCTATGTGTCTGATGTATGTGTACCATGTGTCTGATGTATGTGTACCATGTGTCTGATGTATGTGTGCCTATTTGACTGATGTATGTGTACCATGTGTCTAATGTATGTGTACCATGTGTCTGATGTTTGTGTACCTATCTGTCTGATGTATGTGTGCCTATGTGTCCGATGTATGTGTACCTATGTGTCTGCTGTAGGTGTACCATGTGTATCCTGTATGTGTACCCATGTCTCTGATGTATGTGTACCCTTGTGTCTGATGTATGTGTACCCATGTCTCTGATGTATGTGTACCATGTGTCTAATGTATGTGTACCTTGTCTCTGATGTATGTGTACCTATCTGTCTGATGTATATGTACCTATCTGTCTGATGTATGTGTACCCATGTGTCTGATGTATATGTACCATGTGTCTGATGTATGTGTACCATGTGTATCCTGTATGTGTACCCATGTGTCTGATGTATGTGTGCCTTATTCTGATGTATGTGTACCATGTGTCTGCTGTAGGTGTACCATGTGTATCCTGTATGTGTACCTATGTGTCTGATGTATGTGTACCTTGTGTCTGATGTATGTGTGCCCATGTGTCTGCTGTATGTGTACCTATGTGTCTGATGTATGTGTACCATGTGTATCCTGTATGTGTGCCCATGTGTCTGATCTATGTGTAACTATGTGTCTGCTGTATGTGTACCTATGTGTCTGATGTATGTGTACCTATGTGTCTGATGTATGTGTACCATGTGTCTAGTGTATGTGTACCATGTGTCTGATGTATGTGTACCTATGTGTCTGATGTATGTGTACCATGTGTCTGATGTATGTGTACCATGTGTCTGATGTATGTGTATCATGTGTCTAATGTATGTGTACCTATCTGTCTAATGTATGTGTACCTATCTGTCTGATGTATGTGTACCTATGTGTCTGATGTATGTGTACCATGTGTCTAATGTATGTGTACCATGTGTCTGATGTTTGTGTACCTATCTGTCTGATGTATGTGTGCCTATGTGTCTGATGTATGTGTCCCATGTGTCTGATGTATGTGTACCATGTGTCTAATGTATGTGTACCATGTGTCTGATGTTTGTGTACCTATCTGTCTGATGTATGTGTGCCTATGTGTCTGATGTATGTGTACCTATGTGTCTGATGTAGGTGTACCATGTGTATCCTGTATGTGTACCCATGTCTCTGATGTATGTGTACCATGTGTCTAATGTATGTGTACCTTGTCTCTGATGTATGTGTACCTATCTGTCTGATGTATGTGTACCTATCTGTCTGATGTATGTGTACCTATGTGTCTGATGTATATGTACCATGTGTCTGATGTATGTGTACCATGTGTATCCTGTATGTGTACCCATGTGTCTGATGTATGTGTGCCTTGTGTCTACTGTATGTGTACCTATGTGTCTGATGTATGTGTACCATGTGTCTGCTGTAGGTGTACCATGTGTATCCTGTATGTGTACCTATGTGTCTGATGTATGTGTGCCTTGTGTCTGATGTATGTGTACACATGTGTCTGCTGTATGTGTACCTATGTGTCTGATGTATGTGTACCATGTGTATCCTGTATGTGTGCCCATGTGTCTGATGTATGTGTACCTTGTGTCTGATGTTTGTGTACCTATCTGTCTGATGTATGTGTGCCTATGTGTCTGATGTATGTGTACCTATGTGTCTGATGTAGGTGTACCATGTGTACCTGTATGTGTATGTGTGCCATGTGTCTGATGTCTCTGATGTATGTGTACCATGTGTCTGATGTATGTGTACCTTGTCTCTGATGTATGTGTACCTATCTGTGATGTATGTGTACCTATCTGTCTGATGTATGTGTACCTGTGCTGATGTGTCTGTATGTGATGTATGTACCATGTGTCTGATGTATGTGTACCATGTGTATCCTGTATGTGTACCCATGTGTCTGATGTATGTGTGCCTTGTGTCTACTGTATGTGTACCTATGTGTCTGATGTATGTGTACCATGTGTCTGCTGTAGGTGTACCATGTGTATCCTGTATGTGTACCTATGTGTCTGATGTATGTGTACCTTGTGTCTGATGTATGTGTACACATGTGTCTGCTGTATGTGTACCTATGTGTCTGATGTATGTGTACCATGTGTATCCTGTATGTGTGCCCATGTGTCTGATGTATGTGTACCTTGTGTCTGATGTATGTGTACCATGTGTCTGCTGTAGGTGTACCCATGTGTCTGGTGTATGTGTACCTATGTGTCTGCTGTATGTGTACCGCGTGTGAGTTTCAACCATACCCATACGCTTCACGTGGGTTTTTAAGCGTTCTATTAATTGTTTCATGTAACTTCATATTTTCCACAGACTGCTCTTTTCATCATTGAAAAATCTGAAGGGAGACAACTCCCATATGCCCGGAAGTTGATGGATGTCTGCAGCCGCTACACTGACGTAACTTCCCTTGCGGGAAAAGAAGACGTCATGGTAGGCTACGCGTAGCTGAGGAAAAAAGAAAGTGTTGTTACTAACTCACTTGAGTTCGCTAACAAATGTAGAAATACTGCGACACGTAGACATTTTGTAAAGCAAAAGCGTCAAGGGGAAAAATGAAATGTATATATACTCACGTACAATTGAAAGTACACACCTGGCTAGCTATTCTCGAAGCGTTCGTAGCCCTACGAACTTCTTAAGCCCATTCTTAACACACTGGCTACGATCAAAGTTAAGAATTCTTAGGTCCACGAAAGTTTCGAGATTAGGTCTCCTGGTATTTTGGGATGATTTTCAAAAACAAGAAGGAAAATATTTTTATTGGGACAAGTCACACACATTTTGTACGTGTTGCAAATATACCACAGAGTTCTTCCCAAATCGTGACGTTGTCAGCGTCTCACGTTCCTCGTCCACCGTGGACGATTTAGTTGATGTCGACAGGTTAATGACAAGCCCTGAAATAGTCGATAGACCGGATGTCGACAGCATGATTTCTTTCGTCACTGTTCTGCTGCAAATGCGTTGACCAAACGTTATTGCTGCTGATGACGTCAGTGTTTTCGCTTCGCTGATGATATTGTCTTAGTATTTTGAAGTGTGCTTCTAATATTCTCAGTCAACATCGCCAAAGCCGGTTTATACTTTCTTTTGTAGGTCAGTTTATGTCTCAATCAGTGCGTCTCAATCCACAGATCCTCAGGGTACCCCGATATTGTGGGCGTTTGCTTTTTCAGTAAACCCCTGGAGACCAGGTAGAATTGATCTTCACCAACCCATGTTTGTCGTAAGAGGCGACTAACGGGATCGGATGGTCAGGCTCGCTGACTTCGTTGACAAGTGTCATCGTATTCCAGTTGCATAGATCGATGCTCCTGCTGTTGATCACTGGATTATCTGTAGCTGGAATAATGCTGATTGTCGCATTAAAGCAAATAAACACAAACAATTTTTAAAACCATCATAATGTGACACGGTAAAGAACCTTTCCGCATGATTCTGACTTGTATGTTTCAGGCCAAATTGTACAAAAGTAATGCTGCTTATTGGGCAACAAAAGAATTTACACCGGAAATGATCGACTACGCATGTGCTGATGTACGGATTTTGATACCCGAGGTGTATGAGAAGCTGAAAAGGTATGTCAAAGATGTAACTAATAGGTGTAATACCTCCGGCTGTCTTGAGACAACCCGAGACGTTGTGTCAACGGTGAATTGAAGCTGACAATTGGGCAGTATATAGTTGTACTGACTGGTCAGTTCGTCCATTCAGGTCCCTTGACTTGTTTCTGTTATTTTCCGCGCTCTTCTCGATATCTGCCGGCTCTCCATGTTTGCCTGTCCTGCCTGCTTTTAAAGGCAGATTTACCGAGTAACAATCTGTATCTGTCTGTAGTTCTCACTGACATAATCTGCCCAAGTCGGCATTTCTCATGGACATATTCTGCCATATTTTGACGAGCTTGACTCATGTCCGACATCTGTGCATAACAACATTGTAACACAGGGCTAGTCAAGTCGTACCTATTACATCTCAGTCCAACTAAGTTTCATACTCAGATTCATCAAGCACAACACATTGCATGTAACACTTACATTATACTTCTTGTTTTCAGCATACTTGACGATAAGGATCTCTGGACAGGTTTCAGGGAAAGGGTAGATTACGAGCTGAACTTTAAGTGGAACGAAGCAGTGAAGTCAAACAGCGACGAACGCATGTCAGTCGTGAGGAAGGTTCTGCGCCAGTTTGAATCGAAGTACGCAAGCGATACCGCTTTTGCTGATATTTCGGATGAAGATGACATCCAAGCTCTGAGATCAGTCCGAATCACAGAAATTGACGGGTTCTCTGTTCTTGTCAGGAGGTTGAAAATTGAATTTCTGAAGAACGAGCTGAAGATGATAGAAGAAGAGATGACTTCACAAGGGGACTCATTTTTTGCGACTTTATCTCACTTGAATATGTTATATGCAGCAAAGAGAAGCAACAACTTGGAACTGAAGAACGCAGCTCAAAGACTACAGCAAAGAGCTAATGACATACTCAAGAAAGACCTGGTCGTCAAATACACGGAGCTAACTCCAAACGACCATCTCAAAGATGAAGAGAGAAGGTTGTTACGAGATCTCCCTGTCTCAACTGGAACCAGCTCAGCTGTCAACCCCGTCCTCCGCCATCTTTACAACGTCGTCATCGACAGCGACGTGGAGGAAATCGAGACCTTGAGGCAGAAGTTCCAGCGTGAAGGCAGTCGTTTCAGACTAAACGATGCCGACCTCCGACAGTACAAGTACTTCATCAGCGCTCCTGGGGTTCCTGCCAGGCTTAAGACAAAGGCCAGGGTATTTCTGGACGAATTACAGGAGGCTGGGGTGGTGGAAGATCCCAGAAGGAGGTCGCGGAATCAGTTGAGATAGATACTGAGTGTCTTTAGAATCGTCTCTAGGACCTGGAGTCATATCTGTTTTCAAATATACTCGGTCCAGTAATGACGAAGCCTCATTCCACAAATAATGTTTCTCAAAATATTCCATTGGTGAAAGTATTCCATAATTGCACTATGTTAAAAGTGTCTTCACGACCTGGAGCCAATGTATGTTTTCACATATACTCTTGTTCCTGTAATGAATGAAACTGATGTGTGTTACCAATTGCATTTTTATGTCAATTCAAAAACTGCGATATTTCTGAATCACACGGATGTGCTTCAGCCAAGAACCTTTATATATTTTTGTATTGTGAAGGCAAGCTACAGAACACTGATGCTGTGATACACTCCTTTAACAAATGGTATTGGAGGTTTTAGTGTTAAAACATGAGAGCACATGTTCAAAATGTATGTTCAGGGTTCGCTCGGGCTTGAAAAACCCTGAAATTTGGACAGGTTTTCCCTTAAACGGCTCTAAATTTGTTTTAGTCTAGAAAGGGCCTTAATTGCCAGCAATTTGCCCTAAAAGGCCATATTTTAGCAAAACTTATCAAATTGTGATTTAAGGAAACAAAAATGCATAGTAAAATTGCCTTGTAATGACAGAAGGTGCAGATTAATCTCCACCGCAGAACTTTAGCTGATGGTTGGGCGTTTCTATAGTTCTTTAAATTGTTGATTGGGCCCTGAAACCTCCCTAAAAAGGCCTTAAATTTGATGGCTGATAATCTGTATGAACCCTGATGTATCAAGGCCAAGTCGTCAATCATTCGACACCACTCGCCCCTTTCCGTAACCTGTGGCTTGTCCCGGAACGAGTTGGTCACGAATGGTCGTCAATGTGTGGGCCTTAAATGATTTCATCTCAGACATCTGATAATTTTTATAATCCTGGTTGGGTCAATAACATTTATTATTTCATACTTTGATTAATTTAATGAAAAGTTTGAAAATGTTGTACTCCAACTCAGTGATGACGCTGCGTAACTCAACTGCACGGGCTAATTTGCATATCACGTGACCAGACATTATCTTGTCTGTAATTGTCCAAATTGGTTTGACAGTTATAGAGACATATTCAAATAACTGCGATGGTGAGGGGCATGGAAATAGGGTTTTTTTTCATCAAAGTGACTATCACCAGCTCTCCGTCGCGCTTCCATGTCAGCACGAGAGGCCAAACAACCAGTGTAAACAAAGGCTAACTATGCACAGAGAAAAGGTGTTTCACGTTTTAGGATATTATGTCTCCTTATATATTACATAGGAAATACTGTTTATATAAATATGATAAATGTTTGTCCCATCACAATTCCTTTTCGCTAATTACTGAAAATGATATTTAGCTTCATCTATAGTACTTGCTATTGTTTAGTGCTATACGTTTATATTTAACTGGATTTGATTGTAGGAAGAATAATTCCTAGTTTTAATATGATGTAGCTACCTGTAATTACCGACGTTAAATGTCATGTTTGTATTCTTCAATAGACAATTAATGCAAAATCTCAAACAGACCATTTACATGCATCTACGACCTACAATAAACATGTTTTCTAACCTGTTTGATTGACCTTTTGGAATGTTAGAAGTAGATGAATAATAAGAAATATACGATGCTTTATGGATGCTAAAGGAGTTGTTATCCACAAAGCATCGTACCTTTCTTATGTGTACTAACAATGTTGCCTGGGGTCTTAAGCCAAAGGGGGCGGTGGGGTAGCCTAGTGGTCAAAGCGTTCCCTCGTCACGCCGAAGACCCGGGTTCGATTCCCCACATGGGTACAATTTGTGAAGCCCATTTCTGGTGTCCCCCGCCGTGATATTGCTGGAATATTGCTAAAAAGCGGCGTAAAACTAAACTCACTCACTCTAAAGCCAAAGATGCGTAAAAATGAGTTCAGCTTCCTGAGAAGGTACTACGATAGTATTTGATGATTTTTCAAATCTGATATTTTTAACCTAAATAGGAGAGCATTCTAATATTTACTGAATTTATATCAGAATTTCTGACACTGTTCATTTATTTTCTTGCTCCGTCAATGAATTCTTCAACCGAAGCCTGTATTTTTCTTGGCGTTTCCTTTTATATTCACATGTAACGTTTTTTCAGATGTTATAGTTATTTTAATTTTAGCATGTAAAACCACGCCTATGTGCAAACATTATTGTATTGCCATTGTATTGTATCCTTTGGATTGCTTAAACGGTTACTATGCTTTCTTGTATTACGGTATTCTTGTCAAGATCGTAGCTCCGTGACAATGATATCACACTATCGCTTCAAGTATATTGTGTCAGCCTAACCGTTTTAAATTGCTTTCATTCACTTTATTTGTCGTACAGTTTTCATTGGGTTTTTTTTATAGCAGACATTTACTATGCTCACGTTCTATCTTATGCCCATGTCAGCTGTGATTCTTGGTCAAGGTAATATATTCTTAATGTGTCTCATAAAATGATAGCTTGTTTCTAAACATAAGCGTTGATAGAAGTTAATATTTTGTATAGATATATCTTACAATGAAGTTAAATTGCACCTTCTAGGTTTAACTTAATATCTTAATAAACACGTTTGACGGGTTTCTTGTTTTACGTCAGAACGACCTTTCTTACTGTGTGGTATATTTGGTGTGCTATTTTCATCTGCATGTTGGGAGGTCTGCGTTATGGGGGTATACCCTGAGAACATGACACGTTTTATGGATAACAACCTCGTTTTATTCTTTACCCCACGATAGATAGATAGATAGATAGATAGATAGATAGATAGATAGATAGAACATGTTTACATAAGAGTGGATCAGGTGGGTGGTTTAGTTTAGTTTTACGCCACTTTTAGCAATATTCCAGCAATATCATGGTGGGGGCACCAGAAATGGGCTTCACACATTGTACCCATGTGGAGAATTGAACCCGGGTCTTCCGCGTGATGAGCGAACGATTTATCCACTAGGCTACCCCACCGCTTCAGTGTGAAGTATTTTCTATACGTTAGTATAGAATAGTATAAAGAGGGTTATTATGTATCATTAATGTTTACATACAAGGACATTACATTTTTTTTTAAATCACGTCCGCTGACTTCATGATTAAAATTGAAAATGTGAACAAGGTTTGGCCTCTAAAGTTTGAAGAGTTGTCTCCCTTTATCATTTACCGTTGATGTACAAAGATAACAATATATCTCCGACAAGTCAGAGAATCGCTTTCCAGATTATGGAAAGGGGGAGGGGGTTTGATTTTTGTACATGACATGCAGGTTGGTCACTTGCTTTGTACATAAATTTTAGGGGTGTGTGTTGTTGTTGTTGTTAGAGTTGGTCTGAAGTTTTGATTATGATCAGCGTTTCATTGAGCATTTTAGGTGTATTTCTTTTCGAGTCAGATTGCAATTCATCGGTCCGCTTTAGAGCAATACGGACTGTAGCTCTCACCTATCTCGTCGGCGACATACCCCTGCCTGGAGGTGACGTAAAACACCTACATGATGATGGGAGTTACTGACCACAAGTAGGGGAGGTTTGAAAGTCAGTTACGAAGGCTTTTTTGTACCATGGACCACTTCCTAGGTTATATGGACCACTTCCTCGGTAACACGGATCACTTTCCAGTTGCATGGACCACTTTCTCGGTTACATGGACCACTTCCTTGGTTACATGGACCACTTCCTAGTTACATGGACCACTTCGTCGGCTGCATGGACCACTACTTTGGGTAAACGGATCACGTCCTAGGTTATATGGACCACTTTCTCTGCTACATGGATCACTTCCTAGTTACACGGACCACTTCCTAGGTTACATGGACCACTTTCTAGGTTACATGGACCACTTCCTAGGTATCATGGACCATTTCCTAAGTTACATGGACCACTTCCTTAGTTACATGGACCACATCCTAAGTCACACGGATCACTTCCAAGGTTACATAGACCACATCCTAAGTTACACAGATCACTTTCAAGGTTACATAGACTGCATCCTAAGTTACACGGATCACTTCCAAGGTTACATGGACCACTTCCTAAGTGACATGGACCACTTCCTAAGGTACATGGACCATTTCCTAGGTTATATGGACCACTTCCTCGGTAACATGGATCACTTTCCAGTTGCATGGACCACTTTCTCGGTTACATGGACCACTTCCTTGGTTACATGGACCACTTCCTAGTTACATTGACCACTTCGTCGGCTGCATGGACCACTACTTTGGGTAAACGGATCACGTCCTAGGTTATATGGACCACTTTCTCTGCTACATGGATCACTTCCTAGTTACACGGACCACTTCCTAGGTTACATGGACCACTTTCTAGGTTACATGGACCACTTCCTAGGTATCATGGACCATTTCCTAAGTTACATGGACCACTTCCTTAGTTACATGGACCACATCCTAAGTCACACGGATCACTTCCAAGGTTACATAGACCACATCCTAAGTTACACAGATCACTTTCAAGGTTACATAGACTGCATCCTAAGTTACACGGATCACTTCCAAGGTTACATGGACCACTTCCTAAGTGACATGGACCACTTCCTAAGGTACATGGACCATTTCCTAGGTTACATGGACCACTTCCTAGGTAACATGGATCACTTTCTCGGTAACATGGAGCACTTCCAAGGATACAAAGACCATATCCTAAGTTACATGGACCACTTCTTAGGTTACATTGACCACTTCCAAGGTTACACGTATCACTTCCAAGGTTACATAGACCAAATCCTCAGTTACACGGATCACTTTCAAGGTTACATGGACCACTTCCTAAGTGACGTGGACCACTTCCTAAGGATACATGGACCACATCCTAAGTTACATGGACCACTTCCTAAGTAACATAGACCACATCCTAAGTTACGCGGATAACTTCCAAGGTTACATAGACCACATCCTAAGTTACACTGATCACTTCCAAGGTTACATGGACCACTTCCTAAGTGACCTGGACCACTTCCTAAGGATACATGGACCACTTCCTAAGGTACATGGACCATTTCCTAGGTTACATGGACCACTTCCTAAGTTACATGGACCACTTCCTAGGTAACATGGATCACTTTCTCGGTAACATGGATCACTTCCAAGGTTACATGGACCACATCCTAAGTTACATGGACCACTTCCTAAGTGACATGGACCACTTCCTTAGGTACATGGACTATTTCCTAGGATACATGGACCACTTCCTAAGTTACATGGACCACTTCCTAGGTAACATGGACCACTTTCTCGGTAACATGGATCACTTCCAAGGTTACATGGACCACTTCCTAGGTAACATGGATCACTTTCTCGGTAACATGGATCACTTCCAAGGATACATAAACCACATCCTAAGTTACATGGACCACTTCCTAGGTAACATGGATCACTTTCTCGGTAACATGGATCACTTCCAAGGATACATAGACCACATCCTAAGTTACATGGACCACTTCCTACGTTACATGGAACACTTCAAAGGTTACACGTATCACTTCCTAGGTTCCATGGACCACTTTCTCGGTAACATGGATCACTTCCTCGGTTACATGAATCACTTCCTTGGTTACATGTACCACCTCTTAGGTTCACTGGACCACTTCCTAGGTTACAAGGACCACTTCCTAGGTAACATGGACCACTTTCTCGGTAACATGGATCACTTCCTTGGTTACATGGACCACGTCCTAGGTTACATGTATAACTTCCTCGGTTACATGGACCACTTCCTTAGTTACATGGACCACTTCCTAGGTTTCATGGACCACATCCTAAGTTACATGGACTACTTCCTAGGTAACATGGATCACTGCTTTGGGTACACGGATCACGTCCTAGGTTACATGGATCACTTTCTGTGTTACATTGACCACTTCTTAGGTTACATGGACCACTTCCAAGGATACATGGATCACTGCTTTGGGTACACGGATCACGTCCTAGGTTACATGGATCACTTTCTGTGTTACATTGACCACTTCTTAGGTGACATGGACCACTTCCTAGGTTACATGGACCAGTTCCTAGGTAAAATGGACCACATCCTAGGTTACATGGACCACTTCCTACGTTACATGGACCACATCCTAGGTAACATGGACCACTTCCTAGGTTACATGGACCACTTCCTTAGTTACATGGACCACATCCTAAGTTACATGGACCACTTCCTAGGTTACATGAACCACTTCCTTAGTTACATGGACCACATCCTAAGTTACATGGACCACTTCCTAAGTAACATAGACCACATCCTAAGTTACGCGGATCACTTCCAAGGTTACATAGACCACATCCTAAGTTACACGGATCACTTCCAAGGTTACATGGACCACTTCCTAAGTGACGTGGACCACTTCCTAAGGATACATGGACCACATCCTAAGTTACATGGACCACTTCCTAAGTAACATAGACCACATTCTAAGTTACGCGGATCACTTCCAAGGTTACAGAGACCACATCCTAAGTTACACTGATCACTTCCAAGGTTACACGGACCACTTCCTAAGTGACCTGGACCACTTCCTAAGGATACATGGACCACTTCCTAAGGTACATGGACTATTTCCTAGGTTACATGGACCACTTCCTAAGTTACATGGACCACTTCCTAGGTAACATGGATCACTTTCTCGGTAACATGGATCACTTCCAAGGTTACATGGACCACATCCTAAGTTACATGGACCACTTCCTAAGTGACATGGACCACTTCCTAAGTGACCTGGACCACTTCCTAAGGATACATGGACCACTTCCTAAGGTACATGGACTATTTCCTAGGTTACATGGACCACTTCCTAAGTTACATGGACCACTTCCTAGGTAACATGGACAACTTTCTCGGTAACATGGATCACTTCCAAGGTTACATGGACCACTTCCTAGGTAACATGGATCACTTTCTCGGTAACATGGATCACTTCCAAGGATACATAGACCACATCCTAAGTTACATGGACCACTTCCTAGGTTACATGGAACACTTCAAAGGTTACACGTATCACTTCCTAGGTTCCATGGACCACTTTCTCGGTAACATGGATCACTTCCTCGGTTACATGAATCACTTCCTTGGTTACATGTACCACCTCTTAGGTTCACTTGACCACTTCCTAGGTTACAAGGACCACTTCCTAGGTAACATGGATCACTGCTTTGGGTACACGGATCACGTCCTAGGTTACATGGATCACTTTCTGTGTTACATTGACCACTTCTTAGGTTACATGGACCACTTCCAAGGATACATGGATCACTGCTTTGGGTACACGGATCACGTCCTAGGTTACATGGATCACTTTCTGTGTTACATTGACCACTTCTTAGGTGACATGGACCACTTCCTAGGTTACATGGACCAGTTCCTAGGTAAAATGGACCACATCCTAGGTTACATGGACCACTTCCTACGTTACATGGACCACATCCTAGGTAACATGGACCACTTCCTAGGTTACATGGACCACTTCCTTAGTTACATGGACCACATCCTAAGTTACATGGACCACTTCCTAGGTTACATGAACCACTTCCTTAGTTACATGGACCACATCCTAAGTTACATGGACCACTTCCTAAGTAACATAGACCACATCCTAAGTTACGCGG